CTCTTTCCCATTTCCCAACATTTTGGGAAGTATGCTTTCTCTTTCGAATTCTCAACTTAATTTTAAAGGGAAATTCAGGAGAAAACTTAAGAAAATGAATTCAGAGTGAAGATTAGGGCCAGTGTAGCAGAAGTTAATGTATCAGCAACAAATTAAATTCATACGTATACATGTGAAATACAATAGATACATGCACATAATAAAAACAAAAACAAACTGCAAAGAAAAAATATAAAATGAAAATGAAGAGCCTTTTGTTCCCTGTCTCGCTCCTTAAAAGTAATTACTGTAAAATTTCTTGAGTATACTTTCAGATTCGTGTGATCACATGTGTGATAATAGCACATGTCCTTTAAATATTTGCACATAAGTAGGATCATCATTTTTATACTGTTTTGCCTCTTACTTTTTTGCTTAATAATTTCTTAGAATTTTTTTTTGATTATCAGCACGTACCAGTTATTAGTAAATAGCATACATAGTATTCCATTGTATGAATGTATCATAGCCTAATCCAGCCCCTATTGACAGATGTGTAGGTTGTGTTCAATGTTTTTTCTATCACAAGTAATGCTGCAATGAACACACTTGTACATATATCTTTGTGAACTTGCTAAGTCAGAGGGTTTGTGTTTTCAGCTTTTGGTAGATTTTGCCATATTGTCTTCCCAAAAGGTTGTACCCATTTATTCTCCTGGCAACGTTATGATACTGCCTGTTTTCTCATATCTGCAATATTGGCTATTATCAAACTTCTTAATTTGTGCTACTCTTATTACTTTAAAAATTCATCTTGTTATTGGGATTTGTATCTCTTTCATTCTCAGTGAACTTATACTTTGCTTCCTGAGTTTGTGGGTCTTTTATATTCCTTTTTTTCTGGGAATTGTCCGTATCATCTCTGTTCCCCCTCCCCCCCTCCTTTTTTCAACATCTTTTCTTCATGTTTTCATAGGTAGTTTAGTCAAGGAAGTTAGTTCTTTGTCATAGGTATAGCAAAGTATGAAGAAAATGTTCTGAGTTACCTCCAAAACATAGAGAGGGGAGGGGAAAATACTGTATTACTTACTGTATTAGACTTGATTAATTTTATATCCAGAATGAAAGAGGAAACACATTTATCCAAATGCTGTATCTCCATTTGAGTGTACTGGCCAGTGGTGTGCTGGTAAATTAACAACAGGCCCTCTGACTGTGGGAGGAGTATGAGTTTTAGTGATTGCTGCTGTCCATAGTGTAAATACTCCAACCATGGCCAATTTCAAGTTAGTGATGTGACATCACTGAATGGGGAAAGAAATGTAGCAGTACACCATTATATGTAGGCATTCTACCACACAGACACAAAAGACATAATTAACCTCAAGAGCATAGATGTTGGTAAATGTGGTAAAATAATTAGCAAATGATGATTTTGAGTTTTTATTACCTTTATTTTTAATATAGTTTATTTAAGTTTATATAACTTTAATATTGGCTTTGTTTGATAATTGATACACAGAATTCCTGAAATTTTAATAATTAGATCTTGAGAGTCAGGACAAGCCAGCTCCAGCACACTATTGATACCGGCTTACACATATACATTTATCTCCATTTATTCCTTCCCTCTTCATCCTCCCTTTTGTCAGCCTCCCCCCATCTCCAAAAAAATTGGAGGAGAAATGAAAAATATTTTCTTTATGATTAATAACCTTAGCTTAATTTGCAAATTTAAGTGGTTGATTTGAAGTATTAACATTTTTCTTTATATATACTTTAAATTTCTTCCATTTTACCTTTGCTCATTTGTGCTTTTAAGTATGAAATTTTAAAATATAACTATAAAGTCAGTATGTAACATGTTTGATGGTTATTTAACACAGCTGCCTTTTCATATTTCATATGCCTAATTTTATGACTTTAATTTTCCTAGTTTTTCACTAAGGATGTCATCGTACCCTCTCCTTGGACTGATCATGAAGGGAAGCAGCTTTCAGAGTATGATTCCAGTAAATGTGAGTGTGTTAAAAATTGTTTGAATAAAAATCGTAAAAATAAAAAGCAATGAATGTAAAACAACATATAGTGAGTGTCAGTTTATCTGCTTTGGTAGGAAGCTTGCTATAAATTAAATTTCTGGATACCAGAGGATTTAACTATTTAAGAGTTAGGATTCAAACCTTGACTAAAATTTACTAAATTCTTTTTTTTTCTTGGCCATTCTATTTTGAATTTAACTTTTTCTTCATAACCATTGTGAATATCAGTTACAATGATGGTTATAGAGGATCTGTAGATGCAGAAATAGTTGGTATTGAATATAGAGCTGAATTGTTAATTGTTGCAGTGATTTTGAAGGTTAATTTTTTTAAATGAAATCCTTAAATTGCTTTGCTTTTTGCTAATTTCCTGGTTTCTTATAATAGTAGAGGAAGGATGGGCATTTATAGGACCTCTGGGACAGTGTAATACAGCTGATTATCTGCAAAATTAAAAAGGAAGTTGAAGAGCAAGCCAGTAATCTTTCAAATATTTTTCTACCTCTAGGAAATGGTTATCTTATATTTTCTCTCACTGCCCTTTGAGCTCTGAGCAATGTTCAAGTATTACTTGTTTATATACATCCCTCATTTCCGTGGAATTGCCCGCTCTTCTGTATAGCATACATTAATTATGCTCTCAGTATAACAGGGAATATTTGTTCCATTCTTTACCAAAAACACAATATAGAAAAAATGGATTGAGCACTTTTCATGTGTCCAGACAGTGTTAAGTGCTTTCAGTATTCCTTACAACAGCTCATATGAAGTAGGTGCTATTATTGGTCTCATTTTATAAGTGAGAAAATCTAGTTTTACAAAGGTTAGAGCACTTGTCCCAGGATACAGATACGATAAGGTGGCAGAACCTGGATTTAAAAGGAAGCATTTCTCAGTTCAGATTCTGAATCGTTGCAAACTAAAGGTGGCATGCAGTAGTGGATGGGTTGTAGACCTGCTGTATTATAAACCAGAAGGGGTGACCTTGATCAACTTTTTCAATCTCTTTAGGCCTCAGTTTTTCACTTGTAAAATCAAGGGGTTAGACTAGATGGTTGTGTGATAACATGCCTCCCAGCTCTAAAATTCTGTATCCAAGGTGACGTATCCATAGATGGTAGGTTTCTTCCCCCAAGTTTTAATGTTGGATTTTTGAACAGGTGAATCAACCTTGTGTGATCTTTTTTATAACATCATTTTATATTTGAAGTAACCTGTTTTAGTTAAAGTGAGGCAGATCAGGAAGATGCTAAAAATACTACATACAGCCTCTTTGGTATGCTCATCAAGCCCATGATGACAGAGTACAGTGGTTAATTGGCGGGGGTGGAAGGGGGTGCGCAGGCCTGTGCTATCTACAGTGGTGTTGGGAGATAGTTCAGTTCTCTGTGGGTCTCGCATTTCTATACATCTCATGAAGAACGGCACGGACAGGTTTTGATCCAGGCTGGTTTTTCAAGGATGTTTGTATTGTGAACATCCTTGGAAAACAGAGATGGAGTATCCCTCCGGAGCAGAGGGTAGGTTTGTTTGGCTGTCTAGTACAATAATGGTAACGTCTCCCTCTGGGGCAGGTTTGCTTGCAGCTTATGAAGAATGGGATGTCCCGTGCTTAGGGTTCCTCAGCTGGGGCACAGACCCTCTGTGTGTGCTGTATCCACCTGGGCTCTTTCATGTCCCTTCCTTGGGACTGAGGGGGCAAAGGGAGCTGACGTGAACATGTTGTCTGCTGTGCTGAGAATAATGAAGTCCCTTTGTCTGTGACCCGAAGCCTCCTTTCTTCAGCCAGCATCTATGCAACGTTGACACACTAACCTGTCAGACCCTTTACAGTTCTTGACATATGGTAGCCACTAGCCACATGTGGCTATTTACATTTAAATAAATTAAAATTGAAATTTTAGTTTCCTGGTCATACAGTCACATTTCAGGTGCTCAGTAGCCGCACGTAGTGGTGACCATATTGTCCCGCACAGATATGGAACATTTCCATCATCACAGAAAAAGTTCTGGAAAGCACTACCTTAGAGTAGAGATTGGCAACCTCTATCTGTAAAGGACCAAATATTAAATATTTTAGGCTTTGCAGACCATACAGTTTCTGTTGCAACCAGTCAACTCTACTGCTTTACCATGAAAGTGTATCCCTGATGATACATAATGAACGAGTGTGGGTGTGTTCCAGTAAAACTTTATTTACAGAAATAGGCAACCAGCCCGATTTGTCTTGTGAGCTATCATTTGCTGACCCTCACTCTAGAGTAATGGCGTCTGGGTTTGAGTCGTGCCCAGTGTAGCTTAGTAGCTGTGTGAACTACTTAGCTTTCCTGTGCCTCACTCTCCTTCCCTGTGAAATGATGAAATGAGATAATACTCTGAAGATCGTGTACCTAGCACATGGTAAGTGCTCAGTGTTATTTACCCGAAGAATAACAAAGACAATGGTGAGTCAGGGGGAACAATGATTTTGTTTGTACACATTAGCTTCTGCTGTCAATTTTTACTGTTACCAGTATTTATGCAGCAAGGTGCTTCAATGACTGTACTACCCATTGCGTTTTTATTTATGGACTTGAACGAGAATTTCTCTGGGAATATACATAGGCTGAGGATTTCTGAGTTATAGGCTACGTTTTTCTGATTTGACTGTGCGGTGCCAGGCTGCTCGCCAGAGCGACTGTACAGTCTGCACAGCCACCCACAGTGCCTAGGCTTCCCATATCCCCACATCCCTGCCAGTACGTGCTTTCACATTTTTGCCTTTCTCATGGGTTGTTTGACATTCTAAATGATGGTTTTAATTTTCATTTCTCATATATTAACAGCCTTTTTATTTCCTCTCTTGTAAAATGCCTATTTCTAATTCCTTCCTATTGGAGTTGTTGTCTCTTTCTTTTTCCTTTTAATTTCTAAGATACCTTGTAGTTATCTTAGTTCTAAACATTTCACATGTCATCTCCAGTCACATATGTGCTTTTGTTTTGATGTCTTCGACTGCCTAGAAATTCTTATTATCGTGTAATCAAATCCATCCATTTTTCCTCGTTTGATTGTGGTCTTAAAGTTATCTATGAAGTCCTTTTAGAGGAAACAACCAAGAAAACATTTGCAATACAGTTGAAAAGTGGTGTGAGAATAATCCTGTCTAGATGGAAGACACAGTTTAAGCTGAGATTTGAGTTAGCCGGACTCGGGGAATGGGGCAGAAAAGTCAGAGAGGAAAGAATATTAGAAATACCTAGAGGTGAGAGAGAGAACCTGTTTGTTTTCTAAGGTATTCAGATAATGTTCGGTTGGAGGACAGCTGTGCTAGAGACAGAGACAAGGTTTTGGAAGGGCTTTATTTACACCATTAAGGTATTTGGACTCCAGCCTAAAGACCAAGGACATTACAGGGTTTTCGCAGCAGAGTGCCTTGGTTGCATTTGCCTTCTAGAAGGTCACACTGCCTACAGCAGAGAAGGCATTTGAATCTAGAATTCTTTTTTTTCACCCATTTATTTACTACCTGGTGCTTTTTCAAGTTAAGAAGCTTAATATTAGTCATTAACTTCAGATTTTTAAAAAATTATTTGCACCCATATTTTTGACTCCTCTCTTGGGGAAAAAAAAAAAACTGAGCACAGTTTTATTGATCAAATTTCAGTTTCTTTCAGAATGGCCTGGTGCTTTAATTCCGACAATTTATCTATTTCCATTTTGGAAAAGCATCAAGCAACAGAGGATCTGTTTGAGGACATTGATGTTGACTAACATGTGTCCCCAACCTTTTAAGGTTGACATCATGGAGAGCAAAGCTGCTTTCCCTAAAAAGTATCTCTTGGTGCCGCCTTACTTGCTGTGGTAATCCTTAAGTCTTATCCTTCCTCAAAGTTGACAATCAATCAATCAATAAAAAAACAAACAAACTTAGCAGAAACATGCCAAGTTATATACTTACATATGAAGACATTTATTTTTTAAATGTAAAAGTTTCCACACTTCATTTTTTTACTGTGGAAAAAGTAACCCTAAAGTAAACGAAGAACAGAAAATGTAAGATTTTTCACTTAAAATGTTTTACAGGTATTAACGTCAATAATGAATCTCCAATTGGAAGAAAGCTGACCATACATTCTGAGACAAGCAATGGTGAGTATGAATGTAAATTGGAAAAGAAGTATGTTCCATATTAAGGGACATTTGATGTTAATTTCAGTACATGTGATAACACTTCACTCTGGAATTGAAGTTGTTTACTTTTTATGAATAAGCTATATGAGAGCTGACCTTGAGAAAGTTAGAATAGATACATCCATCCATGTTTGAGAAGTGGCAGTAGTGTGTTATTTTGTGATTCAAATCATGTGAATCGAATTTTGGTTTTGGAAGGCATTCTTTTGAAAATTTGTTAATATTGGGAAATCTATCCCCAAATATATATAGGCTGGCTTCTTCTTTTTTTTTTTTTTTGCGGTACGCA